CCGCACCATCAAACGAATCTGGTTGATACTCAAGCAGATTTGGGACTTACACTTTCTCTTGTATTCTTGATTTGTTTCCATCCTCTTTGGTGTTACTTGAAGGTTGTTAAGGAGTACTTGAGCTCAAGAAGGTGTTTTCAAGTCTTTTCCAGTAAGCTAGCAATCTCTGGACTCTTTTGTGCATATAAAGTTCTCACTTTTATGTTTCCTTTATATAGATCTTGTTAGTTCTTGAGGTTTTGGGCCATTAATCTATTGGTTCTTGGAGTTGGAGTGACTCCGGGACCTTTAAACAAGTTGATGTTGTATTATGAACCCTGGAGTGCAGGAAAGTTGAGTGATTGAACTCATTCTAAGCCATGAAATGTCTTAATGGCCTTTTTAGTCCCTTAGTGAAGTTAGGGTTTTAGATCCAGGGTATTTGAGGTCAAGAAATGGATAAAGTTGGAAACTTTATCCATGCATGGCATAATTCGATCTAGATCTGAGATTTGGAGCTCTGGACTTAAGGGCTAAGAGCTTAATCCATTATGTTATTTTTGAGTATAACCATGGTGTGGTGGAGTGTGAGTCCTTGCGAGTGTTTTGGAATTTAGTGACCGCGATGCGACCTGAGAGCTGATCGCGACTCGATGGTCGTTTACCGTTGACTGTTTACTTTTGACTAGTTTGACTCTTGGTCAAACTAAGGGTTTTGAGTGATAGACTAAGGTTTGACTTTAATAAATGACTAGGTAGTTTGTAAGACTTGTTTTCACTCTTTTGCATGTAGTGGTGATTATCTGGTTACCTGTGAGGTGAGTTTTCTCACTATACTATATAATACATGTTTACGTCCTTGTGTGCTAGAATGAGGTTAGACTGTAGTATGTTTTTGGGCAGGTAGATTTTTAGATTGTTACTAGTGATGCTGAGTTGTATGTTTATTTGTTTTATGTATATGTTGACATATTTTATGGTAGGATGAGGCGTTCCAACTTTGTGCGAAAGGCCAAGATGTGGGTGTACCACCTTTATCCTGGAGGCCAAGGGGTAGGTTGATGACAAGATCAACATTAAGTGTTGTGAGTCTAGACACTCACAGATGGCGAGTTGATGGAAAGATCAACTAAAGTGTTGTGAGCCTAGATACTCGATGTTGTTCCGGCGAATCAGTTGAGTACCGAGAGCCTTTTTTATATACATATATGTTTATTGTTGTGTATGGTATTTTGGGGAACTCACTAAGGCCAAGGGGTGGTTTGATGACAAGATCAACATTAAGTGTTGTGAGTCTAGACACTCATAAGTGACGAGTTTATGGCAAGATCAACGAAAGTGTTGTGAGCCTGGATACTCGATGTTGTTCTGGTGAATCGGTTTAGTACCGAGATCCTTGTTTATATGCATATATGTTTATTGTTGTGTATGGTATTTTGGGTAACTCAATAAGCTTTTGCTTACAGTTGTTGATTAACATTTTTCAAGTACTACATAGGGTTGTGGCAAGGTAATGCGTGATTGTACACACATATCAACAACTTACATGTTTTGTGATTGCGTGATGTTTATTGATACTCTAATTTTTAGATTATTACTTATGAAACAATGGTATTATGGATGTTGAGATTTATGAGAATGGCTTTTGAAATTGTTTAATTTTTTTTTATAAAATTTGGATGTTATATGTTGGTATCAAAGCCCTGGTTTGAGAGATTTGGATGAACACTCGTGGGATTTCGAACTCAAACTAAGGATCTGAGATTTTTTATAAACTTTTTTGAAAAGGAAAATTTTAAAAGAGAAAGCAAGATGTGATTTGTACAGCTGGTCGGAGCTCAAAGGAATGTGATCTCCTAAAATATCTATATTTGTTATATATATGTTGATATGTAAATGGTTAGAAATGTATGCTAGTAGATAGGTTAAGGATGCCTTTAGGAATTACATGATAAAATTGCCTGATTTCTATGATGCCTTGTAGCCTAGAAGATTTTTTGATTTTTCTACCTGTAGTTTAGGCTGATAATGTTAGTTGCTAAGTGTATGCTTCATTGTTGTAGATAATTAGGATTTTATAGCCTTAGAATTCTTGATTTAGCCTTACTTCCTATTCCTTGTTTGGCGTTGGATGTAAAGTAGAATCATTTATTCGACCATCTACCTGGTCCTGTATTACGTATGACTTGCATACACAATGCGACTAACATTATTAGTAGAGACTCTAGCAGCACGAGAACGTGGTGGATGAGAATCCTAGGATCAGAATATAGGAAGTTTAGTTATAGCTCATCAGGGCGTATAAGTGTAGGGCATTATACATATTAATGGTCAAGTGTAGTGACTTAGAACTTTCTGATGATTCCTGAGACGAATACGGATAGGTGTGGAAGGTAGTATAGGCCCATACTACCCGAAACACAAGATTCGTACGACGATCATGAAAAGCCGCAACTCGCAAGGTTTCTAAGGAACTGGTATATGAGTGTATAGTATGTGTTAAATCTATTACCCATTTTCTTGACCTATCTTCCTGTATATTTTTAGTAGGGGTGAGCATAACCGGGTACCCGACCAATTTAACGGGAACCAGAACCAGAACCGGAACCGACGGTTCTTAGTATGACAGAACCGGAACCGGAACCGCCTACACCGGTTCCTTAAATTTTGGAACCGATCCCGGAACCTCTTGGAACCGGTTCCGGTTCCGGGTACCCGCATAATTTTTTGTGAACTTTAACAACTAGTCATTTGCAAATTAATTTACAACAAAAATCAAATCCAACAATAATTTACAACAAAAGGTAAACATAAACACCTGATCACTAAAATATCATCGTCATTTTCAAATAAACTTACAACTACAACAACCTTAGCTTAATTCAATAGTAAAAGGATCAACATCAAGTATAGCAAGTCTGTAATAGTTAAAAGTTAACAATCAAACAACACAAAAGTTATAAAAATAAACATTTCAATAACAAACAAAAGTCATAACATGCTCCTCAACAATAATTCTGCAAGTCTGCATCAACCCAACAACAAGTCTGCATCAATCCAACAGCAAGTCCGTGACAGCCCAATAGTAAACAGTCCAACAGCAAACCTGTAAAGCCCAACAACAAACAGTCCAACAGCAAACAGCCCGCCAACAAACATTTAACAACCCATCAGTAACTCTAAAACATGTTATCAGCCCAAAAAACAATATCTATTATGGATTATGTGCATAAAAATATAACAAAATAATAGGAGTTATAAAGTTACCTCAAAAAGCAAATATGTATTATGTTTTTCGACCAATTGTAATATCAACAGTGTTACCAATTTCTACAATAGATATTAAACAAACAATTCAAATTAATAAAGATATACACAATTTAGGAAAATATAATTAAAAGTACAAAATAAAAGTGTAACATACATTTCTCATATTTTTCCACATCATCCAATAGTTGTTCAAGATCAATACACACATTTTATCCTCTCAACCAATCCTGAGTACATATCAAAGTTTCCACTGTCTTAAAACCCAAACTACTACGAAAGTTATCCACCACGCGACCGGAAGTACTAAAAGCAGATTCACTAGCAACTGTAGAAACTGGAATGGCTGGAATTTCTTTAGCCATTGATGCCAACACCTTATATGTTGTACATTTGTCAGGCCACCACTTCAAAATTTCAAAGGATTCATTGTTCATTTTTTCAGGTGGAGAATCAAGATAGTCTTCCAATTCAGATTTTTCCATAGCATCCTCAACATCTTTCTCATAGAATTCATCATAGATTTTTGTCATTTGTTTATTCTTTACCACTCCAGCAAAATTTTGGCCATCATCATCTTTCCAATGGGAAGAACTAGAAGAATCATTTTTCTTTTGTTGAAACGTTATCATAATGATTGTACAACCTTTTCAAAACATCATACACATCATTATATATGTCTTCAACTTTCTTCTCGTCCAAATGAAAGATCTTCTTTAAAGAAAACTTGACAAACCTCATCATATACCTTGGATCAAGAGCAACCGCAACTAAAACCATGACATTTGTTTTCCTAAAGTCTCCATAATATTTGTCAAACTTTTTTCTCATTGATCCCCCATACTAACGATATTAGGATCCTTATCTTATTTCCACTCCAACAAAGAAGCTAATACACCCAAGATCTCATGATAATGCATATTGGCTGTGACATACAAAGTGCCAGACATCCTTTTTGTGGCATCAAAAAATTGTTTAAAACAAAGTGATAAAGCTTTAGCATTATGCTAATATTTTTGAGAGGGAAACTTGTCTTTAAGATCTTTCTCAATATGGGGATCTTCTTGTTTCATTCTTTTAAAAGCTTTCTCAAACTTAAGAGCTGTATCTAAAATAATGTAAGTGGAGTTCCACCGTGTTGGTACATCAAGAGATATTGACCCTTTACATGAAACTTTTGATTTTCAAACACAATCATCAAACAATTTAGATCTTTCTGAAGAACTCCTCACATATACAATAACACCCCGAATAGAATTAATGAAATTCTTAACCATATCCACGCCATCTTTAACAATTAGGTTTACGATATGGGCGACACATCTCATATGAAAAAACTCACCCCCTAAAACAAGTTTGTCTATAAGGTGTTCTTTTAAATAAGCAATAGCAACATCGTTTGAGCTTGCATTATCTACGGTGATAAAAGATAACTTATCTTCTAAACCCCAATTTAGAATACAAAACTCTACTACTTTTCCAATTTCTTTCCCTTTATGACTATCCATTACTCAAAAATTCAGAATTCTTTTATGTAATTTCCAATTGTCATCAATAAAATGCACAGCCAAACACAAATAGTTTAGATTTTGTATAGAAGTCCAACAATTGATAGTGAGAGCAATCCTAGATGTCACACCTTTGAATGTATTTCTCAAATTCTCCATCTCACTTAAAAAAAGTTTACCAATATCTCTAGAAACCGTGAAACGTGATGGCAAACAAAATTGTGGAACAATGACACTACAAAAATATCAAAATCCATCACGTTCCACGTAAGAAAATGGTTCCTCGTCAATGACAATCATTTTAGCTAAAGATTGCCTAATGGAATTTTGATTAAATTCCCAATTAGAAACAGTGGTAGCATCACTTTGACTTGTTTTAAAAATGTTAATTTTCTTTTGTTTTTTATCTATATTTCCGGGGTTATTTGGACACGTAAGAAGATGATTAGCCATAAATGATGTACCATTCTTTGTAGCAACCTTCAACACTCTAGAGCAGATTTTGCATTGGGCTTTTACAATTTTGTGAGTCTCTGGATCTCGAATATCGACATATTTATGCCAAACATCTGCTGTTCTTTTGTCCCTAACTGATTGAGTGTTCTGTTGCTCAACATCACTTTCACGATCCAAATCTATGGGCTGATGTTGTTCCATTATCGGCTTGCCTAAAATTCAAAGAAATAGTAAGTAATCAGATAAACTTGTTCAATGCTATATGTTCTAAATATTGGAAACAAAAATTGGGAAAACAGAGTAATTAATCACTGTGTAGTTCGTACGCCTATTCTATAATTTTTTAACAGCAAACAATTTTTATTAAGAATCTAGAGAGGGGACAGCCTAGTTCTCCAAAAGGGTAAGTTGACTTTGATAGGAACAAGTTCACACCAATGAGTGGGTATGTAACCTTGCTCCTAATACATGTCACCAGTGAGTAAATGAAAGGTTCTCATATTGAAAGGAATCATTAATCAGCATAGAGAATCATTAATCAGTAAAAGAATCATTAATCTAACCTGTGGAGCCGGAGAAGTCGTCGCTGGTATGTCAGATTCAAAGAAACGAGTCGTCAACATGCACTATGGACACTGAATTGAACACGTCGTCGGCATCAATCGATTTGTGACTTGGGAGAATCAGACTTACAGTGTGCGATTGAATGGTAGGAGTGTGGGATTGAATTAAGAACGAGTTAGGATGGAGCGAGAATGCGAGAACGAGATGCGATTAAAGTCTGAACTAGTTAGGCTGGAGCAAGAATGCGAGAACAAGACACTACTTCAAGTCTTCAAATCTTGTGTGTGTTTGTGAATTGTGATTTGTAAAGGTAATTGTAACACTCATAAAAATCATGCCAGAATTAAAATTATTAAAACATTTCAAAACCCATGATTATTACAAAACTTGTTTTCGAAATAGTATAATGTCAGAGTATCCCAGAATCAAATCATAGAATCATATAATGTGAGGAGCTGTACGATCACGCCTTCGCCTTCCCGCGATCATCAGAAGTACCTGAAACAATAATCGATAAATATAACCTCGAAGGCTTAGTGAGTTACCTCCAAAATACCAACGCCATAAAACATATCAATAACATAATAACATAATAACGAACAACATGCATAATGCGCCTTTAGCCTGACTGGACCGCCTCGTAGGCCTTTAGCCTATCCGGACAGCTCTCCGATCCTTCGGCACGTCTAGACCGCCTCGCAGGGCCTACAACCTATACAGACCGCTCGTCGGGCCTTCGGTCTGACCAACATGCCTTCCTGGGCTTGTAGTCTATCCGGACCGCCCTGGGTATGTAGACCTTCAGCACAAAGCAGGACCGCCTCAACCCAATCCCCCAATCAAATAAACATGTGCACATAATATTATACGCTAGCATATATATCAGTCAAACTGATCTAACATATCGTCAATCATAGCAACATTCTACAACCAGGATACAGACCTAACCGGTCACTAACATAGCATCATCCTATATACCAGGATACCGACCTAACCAGGTCACTAAGCATATCACCATACTAACTACCAGGATGTAAATCAATAAGCATATCATGCAATAAAACTGGATACAAATCCGATAAGGGCCGGCATAGGTGCCTTAGACCCTGTTGATATAGTGAGGAGAACTCACCTCGCAAGTAGCTCGAACTGATAAAGTCAAACTCCTCCAAATGCAGCTCCAAGTCTAACACCTACAACCACCGGTGACTCCCTTCCATAAATTCCCAAATTACCAAAATACCCCTAGAGGTCAAACTGGTCAACCCTTGGTCCAAGTCAAAGTCAACGGTCAAAGCCAACAGTCCATGTTGACTCAACTCGTCGAGTGCAGCTAGCAACTCGTCGAGTTCCTTAAGAGTTCAGAAGGTCATAAAACCCTCACTGACTCGCCGAGTTTCCGACCAACTCGTCGAGTCTATGCGTGTCCAAAAGTCGGGGAAAACCCTAACTGACTCGTTGAGTCCTCTGCTGACCCGCCGAGTGCATGCAGAAACCAAACAACGGGAAAACCCTTCCCAACTCGTCGAGTTCCTTATCCGACTTGTCGAGTTCATACAATCCATTTCTTGTTCAGATGATTTTGAGCCATTCCAAAGCTCTAAATAGTAGATCTAGCTTCCTAAGGCATGCTTATCACGTAAAGTTGCAAACTTTACATGCATGCAAGGCTCTAAAGGCTTAGAATACCGAATCCAAGCTTAAAATGGGGTTTAACTCAAAGGGAATAGATCATACTTGCTAAAGCTGGAAACTTTATAGTTATAGAGACCAAGATAAGTTCAGATCTGAAGTTGCAACTTCAAATCCTAGCCCATACCCGAAAATGGTTCACATACATGCTAGAAAGGCCCTAATCTTAAACATAAAGAGATATAGAAGGAGGAAAGTCAAGGTAACGACTTGTTACCTTCAAGTGATACTAAAATGGAGTAGAGTTCAGATCCTCAACTGTTCCTTGCTCAAAGTTTCTTGATCTTCAAGCTCTTTTCACCAAGATCCACCTTCCAAGCTTAAAAACACACAAATATGGAGAGAAAAGTGCGATTTAGGGTTTCTGGACTCAAAGGGGTTGTAATGGAGGCTAATGATCCTATAATAGGGTGCAAAACCTTGGAAATTAGGGTTTCATCCTTCTGCTCCAACTCGTCGAGTCGGTCTTCCAACTCGTCGAGTTGGTCACTTAAAACACGTGACCAAATCCGTGCCTACTCGACGATTCAGGGCATCCAACTCGTCGAGACGACTTTTACAATGGAAATATAAGACTGAAAAGTTTATACCTGAGAGTCGGGGTGTTACAATTCTCCCCCACTTGAACTAGACTTCGTCCTCGAAGTCTGCTGCGGTGAACAACTCTGGATAATGCTCCTGCATCTCAGCCTCCGGCTCCCAAGTCCACTCAGATCCCCTCCGGTGCTCCCATTGTACCTTTACCAAAGGCACTTCCTTGTTCCGCAAAACCTTTACTTTCCTCTCCAGAACGACCACCAACCTCTCTACGTAATTCAGGTGCTCATCGACCTGAATATCATCTAATGACACTACCACCTCCTCGTCCAGAATACACTTCTGCAACTGTGAAACGTGGAAAGTACTATGGATCTAACTAAGCTTTTCTGGTAGCTCGAGTCTATATGCCACCTTGCCAACCTTGGCAATTATCTGGAACGATCCAATGTATCGGGGACCTAATTTCCCCCTTTTCCTGAAGTGGATCACACCCTTCCAGGGCGAGACCATTAGGAGTACCATGTCACCGACCTGAAACTCCAACTCAGATCGGCGCCTGTCAGCATAACTCTTCTGCCACCTCTGCGCGATCTGCAACCGCTGTCTGATCTGCTGAATCCTCTCGGTAGTTTGTAGAACTACCTCGGTCCGTCCCATCACCCTGTGACCGATCTCACCCCAACAGACTGGGGTGCGACATTTCCGTCCATACAATAGCTCATATGGTGGGGCACCAATACTGGAATGAAAGCTATTGTTGTAGGAGAACTCCGCGAGGGGTAGGTAGGTGTCCCAGCTCCCACCAAAGTCAATAAAGCAGGCTCTCAACATATCCTCGAGAGTCTGTATGGTCCGCTCACTCTGGCCGTCCGTCTGCGGATGATAGGCTGTGCTAAAATGTAAACGCGTGCCCAGTTCCTCGTGGAACTTCTGCCAAAAACGGGAGGTGAACCGAACATCATGGCCCGACACGATAGAGACCGGCACCCCATGGCGAGCAATGATCTCGCAGATATACAAGTCGGCCAGCTTCTCGGTCGATGAGCTCTCCCGTATCGCTAAAAAGTAGGCACTCTTGGTCAATCGATCCACGATGACGCAAATAGCATCAAACCCTTTCACCGTTCTCGGCAGCTTGGTGATGAAGTCCATCGTGATCTGCTCCCATTTCCACATGGGAACCTCCAGGGGCTGCAGCTTACCATGCGGCCTCTGGTGCTCGGCCTTGACCATCCTGCAGGTCAAGCTCCTCTCAACATACCAAGCAATTTCTCGCTTCATGCATGGCCACCAATAACTCAATCGCAAGTCCTGGTACATCTTGGTGGCCCCCGGGTGAATAGAGAAACAAGACTTATGAGCCTCCTCCAAAATAGTTTGTCTGACCCCACCAGACATCAGAACCCAGACCCGACCGCAACGGGTCAATAATCCCCGAATATCCTGCACAAACTGGATGTTCTCACCCCTGATCCTCTCAAGTTTCCAGCTCTCTTGACGCATACCCTCTGCCTGGGCTTCCGTGATCAAGCTCATAAGTGAAGAATCCATTGAAATCCTCATGCATGTCACTGGAGTAGAAGATCCAGCTAACTTTCGGCTCAGAGCGTCCGCAACCACATTCGCTTTACCTGGGTGGTAAAGGATCTCACAGTCGTATTCCTTGACTACATCTAGCCATCTGCGCTGTCTCATGTTCAGGTTCGGCTAATCCATGATGTGTCTCAGGCTCTTGTGGTCCGTGTAAATGGTACAACGGACCCCATAGAGGTAATGTCTCCAAATCTTGAGAGCAAATACCACCGCTCCTAACTCCAGATCATGAGTAGGGTATCTCGTCTCATGCAGCTTCAACTGCCGCGATGCATAGCCTATCACCCATCCTCTCTGCATGAGGACCGCTCCCAGTCCCGTGATGGATGCATCACAGAACACCACAAAATCCTCAACTCCATCCGGAAGAGTCAAGACTGGAGCCTCGCATAGTCGTTGTCTGAGGGTGTCAAACGCCCTCTGCTGCTCGGGGCCCCACCGAAAATCCATCCCCTTCCTCGTCAAATGGGAGAGGGGTACTGCAATCTTGGAGAAATCCTGTATGAATCTCTGGTAGTACCCTGCCAATCCCAAAAAGATCCTGATGTCTTAGGGAGACTTCGAAACCTCGCACTGCATAACCGCCTCGATTTTGGCCGGATCGACCAAAATCCCCTCCTGGTTAACAAGATGTCCTAGGAACTGGACCTCTCATAACCAAAACTCGCATTTCGAGTACTTGGCCTAAATCTGTTCTCGCCTCAGAATTTCCAATAACTCCCGAAGATGCTCCTCATGCTGCTCTCGGGTCTTGGAGTGCACCAAGATATCATCTATGAACACTATGACCGAGCGATCGAGCATCGGTTTGC